ATATATATATATAAATACATATCAGAAAGTTAGATAGATAGAAAGGTAGATAGATAATCAGGAACAAAGTGTTTTGTACCTAGAGTGATGATCCACTAGAGTGTTGACTGCCTGATATAATTTGACTTACCGTATTTTTCCGTCTATAAGACGCCCCCATGTATAGGACGCCCCCCACTTTTGTTACCCAAAATTCAGAAATCAATATTTTCCATGCTCTTTTGCATAACTGATTACATCCAGTTTACATTTTGCAGAGTAAGACAGCCGCTTCCTGGTGTTGGTATTTACCGGGATTTTTGTTTGTTTTCTGACATTTTATGGGCTCAGAATGCTCCGACATTACCGCTCCCTGTTACATCCGGGCACTGGCTACAGGCTCTCTGCAGCATCAGCTGATGTCGGGTACATAAGGCTCATGATTGGAGGAAACCTGTTAGCTTGTCTCTGCAATCAGAAGTTTCACTCGTGAGGCTAGTTTGCAGAGGTATCGGTAGTTTCGCAACCGCGGTTCTCCTCTCAGCCCCCTGTGTATAAGACGCACCTCCATTTTTAGGTAAATATTTTTATGAAAAAGTATAGTCTTATACACGGAAAAATGCAGTAATATAATTCACTCTGCTCAACATAAACAAGCTTCTCACTGTGCTCCTGGTAAGGATTATGTCCTCTTCTCACATGATTCTGTGCCATGCCACTCTTGAGCAGTAGGTTACAAGAGCAGGAACCAGGAAAGATAACATCCTGAATCTTCACAACTTCTCCCACGATTCTGTGCCATGCCAATCTTGAGCAGTAGGTTACAAGAGCAGGAACCAGGAAAGATAACATCCTGAATCTTCACAAGCTCATATGTTAAAAGTGAAAAACCCAGCAAGTCTGGGAATGAATTAATGAAACACACCCCCCTTCCCTCCTCTTTCTAAGGGCATTACTGAATGATAATATTACATTGCTTCACAAGTATTATATAATATAACTTAGAATTGTGTATAGACTCTTCTGACATTCAGGAAGATCATCTAAATTAGTACACAAGGAGATGACCCATGCATCATGGCCTGAAGCAAAGCATGAAAAGCTGGGTGGAAACAATGTGCTCTATCAGGGGAACTAATATAACCTGGCTGTAGTTGCTTAATTTACCCTTGCAATGTCCATGTGGTCTCTGGAATTCTGCTCCCCGAGAAGCATTTGTGCTGCCGATTGCATCACTTATCTCACACTTTCTTTTTTTCTATTTTTAGAAAAATCCTGGACCCGGAACATATGATCCAACTAGACAGCTACCGAAACAACCACCTACACTTGCCAAAATGGGTCGCTTGCATGGCCTCTTCTTTCGTAATTCATTTGACTTTTGAATTGTGAATCACAGAAGATAATTAGGGTTCTGCTTCTGTCTGTAAAATGGATTCCCTTTCTGAAAGACGATGGTACTATGAATACACCAGTCATCAGTGTGAGTGCAGCTATTATGTAAAGCCTAATGCATGCTTATTCAGTAAGTCAAAGAACAATAGCAGTAACCCAGAAATACAGTCAGCAAGTAGAGATGAGTAGATCAGCTTGCAAATATGGACACTTTGCTCTGACCCGGCTTTGCTGGGAAGCAGTAATTCATTTTACTGATGGGACCGCC